CAATTTTTCGCTCCAAAAATTCAAAGACTATGTCTCAAAGGTTTACTAAATTTCAACAGGTATACGTATTCAGAGTAAGAGCTGCAAGTATTGTTCAACGTTGAATTGTTTACCTCCATCATATTATACAGGTAAAACTTATCACAAGGATTTATTTTGTCCAATGAAACATCGTATTAATTTCAATTGGACGAAACACCTTGGCCGATCGATGGTCATTTGGCCAATCAATGGTCGATCACGTTAGTACAATACTGTCTGTATGTCCTACTGGTACCATTTGGGTGGAATTGTGTACTAGTATGTCCTACAGGTTTTTAGAGGTAGAAAGAAGCCTCCGTATAAATTCACGAGGCCATGAGCCACAATGAAGACGCTTAACTTTCTACCAACTAGATAACGTTACCTATTCGTCCAGCTCACACATTGTTTCAAGTTATTGTGTGAGTTTTGTTTCCGAGTATATTACAACGTCGAACTTCATCTCGGTTTGGTTATCGCTGTGGCGGTGAGCAAGGTAAGTCCGTGTCCAATTCCAGTGGGCTGTGCAGTAGCCGCTGTGCTTGGTTTTATCTCCACACTTCGAGCGTTTGAGGCCGTGATGGTAGTGGGCGGCTTGGTATTTGACGGAACATTCAGAGCTTGGACTTTGAACTGGAGGTTGGCCAAGTTGCGGTCATACCCTGGCTGTACTGCAATGCCGCGAAACGCCCCAGACGAGGGATATTTGGACTGACTGTTGGGGTTGGGGGAGGAGCTGACAGTTCGGGCGACCAACGGACTATCAAACATGACGCCTTGCTCCATTGTTTGACCACTCGTGAGATGCGAAAGCAGGCGCTGGCCACCTCGGTATATCTTGGAGTACGCCGATGGACTCCCCAGTCGCAAATTGTTTGTGTCTCGCGTGGGGGGGGAGAGGGGGGAACCTGCGACGGGCGGTGCTGCTGACGACACCATCGCTAGCGGTTTGGGGGTTGTTCCAAAGGATAGACTGGCCAGGTCGTGCACCATTTCGGACGCCATCGCATCTGCTTTCTTGGTCCGTTGCCGCCCCCTCTTGGTGCCCCCGACGCGGTAGTCGTATGGGGATTGGGATGGAGAGCTCGATATGGACGACATGGGAGGCCGTACATCGTCCAGCTTTACCCCCCCACTAGTTGGAGTGTCTGGTTTGTTCAAAGAGTACGAAGTTGTATACACTGGTGCTGCGTGCTGTTCGCGCTTGGGGGCCATCACAACGCCCGTGGGCCGGCTCGAGCCACTGTCCTTTGGTGGTTTGTACGTGGGTTTGCCGCCCAAAATGCCAATTCCGTTGCCTGTCAAAGTCTCTATGTCCAACGACGGCCCAGAGCTTGCCACGTAAGTGATTAGACGACCTGTGCCTGGAAGCGTGCCTCCCCCTTCAGCATACCCCCCCAGCCCTTTTACCGGAAACGCCGCGTCCCCGCCTTCACCTCCGGGGGGGTTTATCCCAAGTCCAAACCGATCGTTGTTCCCAGGACGCTTGGGTTTCCAAACCGGATGGCCCCTTGGGCTCTTGGCCCCCGCTACAATGAAGGGGGAAACACATGTCGGTGTTTTGCGTTCGTTTTGCATAACTTTTTGATACTCGATAGTGAACGAAGAACGTACCCAAGTTAAACACGGGCCGAGGGCTACCAGTGTCTGCATTGACGGATTCTAACCTCATCAATATATAACTGCTTTGGGAATGGTTCACGTATGTATTTATGTATCTGATCTCAACGTACGGGTTGGTGGAGGGGTCTCTACACAATCAAAGCCACTGTGAACAATGAAGACATCCAACACATTGGAAATATCGTACCAAGTTGAGCTGGGGGGGCGATAATACTTGGGGGTCCTAATAACACAGAAACAAGCAAAGCAAAGATTTGAGCGACACGACTGACTTTCCGTCAAGTACCTGCTGGAATTGGTGTGAGCCCGGCAATAGACTTGATGAAAAAGCCCGACGACGTGGTAGGCGCATCGGTAAACTTCTTTTGATTCGTCGCTTTTCGGGGAGACGTGGGGTCTTTTAGGTTGGGATTGTAGGGTGCGGATCGTCTTGTGTTGGTGGGCCTTGCGAGGGAACTGTGGCGAATATGCGGTGCACTAGTGAACTCCATCGTCCTAGTCGCGTCAGTGCGGAAAGCAGAGGTAGCATTGGCCAGCACGCTGGCCATGTCTGTGGGCTGTAGGGCTTGGCTGTAATTCCGGTTCGACTGGAGACTCGGCTCGACCATCGGCGACGTGCCCACTGGTTCTGGGACGATCGACGGGGGAGGGGGGGTGGCGGTGGTCGGAGTTGAGGCCAAAGGTGACTTCGAATCGGCGTTGGTTTGGGGTTGCTTAGGCTGTTGAACAAGTGGAACTGAAGGCACGACGATCGCGTCGGGGCGTGATGGGGGCGGCTCGGTTAGTACTCGAAGGGGCATCGCTACAATCCACCCCCCATATGGTCACCCTACATGTTTGGTGTTTATTTTTTCTCGCCTACCGTCGGGTTTGTAAGCGGTGGATGAGTCATGCGACACCATTTTTACTTTGTGTAGTTTGGTTGGCCGGATTTCGACGTGGTCAAGCTGGATCATGAGTCCGGAGGGGACGTTGAGCGTGATGTCTTCGGGGGGGGTGGAAGGTGTGGTGGCCTCCACCGTCGGCGCGTTTTCGGCGGCGTCAGGCGTGGCTGCTGACGTCTGGTCTACGAGTTTACGCGTGGGGACGAGTGGTTGGTAGATGGATAGGAAGACCAAGTATAGTACCGGGAGGTGGGGCAGCCGCCGTAGCATGTTTGGCAGTCAATTGCGCCTCCAACGCGTCCAATTCAGTTTCAATTTGAAGCGGCGTTCGAGGTCGCAAATGCAATTCTTCGACCACGTCCGTGTAATTGATATCTACACGATACAATAGTAAATTTATGTTGTGAGATTATGCTAGGATGCAAGGAATGACGATGCTAATACTACAACTGCATAACCCACCTTGGAGCCGTCTCAGTCGAAACGAACCCGATGATTGAATTTGTGCGATTCCATGCATGAGCAGATAGAGCAAGTTGCAATACTACCAAAAAAGGAGAGAGAAGGGAAACTTAATGCTGCTCGAAACACCGGTGGAATCCCCGTAATAGAGAGAGGGGGGGAAGGGGGGGTCAGTCGTACGTCGTCGGGCCGGAGCGAGTCACACCAGATGTCGATGAGCTCGAACAACGACAGGTGAAACAGTTCGTACGTCAGCTCATGCGTGGCGTTCGTATCTCGAACCCAGTCCTCTCGAATGAGCACTTTGGAGTCTTCAATATCAAAGAGTTCGATCAAGACCTTGTGGATGCGGACCATGATGCCTTGGTACCCTTCGTACTCCATGCCCATGGCGTGTTGGGACCCCACCATGAGCCAAAACATCCACGTGAGTCGGCCGAGCAACGGGTGGACACGGAGCCCCAGCCGGGATTCGAGGTTTTCCTACGCTCCATTGCAACAATCACAACCACCCATTATTATTCCACCAGCAAAACAAAAACATCCTTCACTTGGCTGGCACGTACGTCCGTGTAGTATTTCAAATCGCCTTGCCGGTTATACGCCACACGCTCGCCTTCAGTGTGTTCCGTATGGATCTCCCTGGAAACAAACCCCATCAATTGATCCATGTTCAAATGTTATACACACAAAGCAGGGATGGACAGTACCCGTCCGCCACGAGTCGGATCACGGCTTGCCGGATTTCCTCTACGTGATGTTCGTGCTCCATGAGCTTTGGCACCGTGGCCACGATGGACAAGGGTTCCTCGTCGATGGACATTTTCTTGACGGCCTTCGCTGCACTCGACACGGTGCTCCCGATACTTCGGGTGGACCCCATGCTCTTCTTGAGTTGAAACACCATCGTGTTGCGCACCGTTTGCCGCAACATGTCGCCCCCATGCCCCCCGTGCCCCCCATGGCCCACGGACTCCTTGGACAGCGTCGTGAGAAGCACTTGATCCACGATGGACTGCTGCCTCGTCATGGCCTGCCGAACATCTTTGATCGACTTGAGCCGCTCAAATGCCGGGCGATGCGGCCGCAGCGGCGCTTCTGCCACATCGATAAAGGACATTGTCGCCCCACGGCGGTGGTGGTGGTGAAATCTGCGTTCTACCGAAACAGGTCGCTAAAAATACGATGCCTTGTCGGTTTCACGATTTTGCCAATCGATTGATGCCTTGTGCAGCAACTCAATCACAGCTTGGCATGACAGACGCGATCGAGTTGGTCGACGAAAGTGACTCGGGGGGCGAAGACAATGGCGAACCCCAGAACATCATTGTGGCTTCGAGGACAGCAGAAAACAACAACACCCCCCTTGTCCTCGTTCCCTCCAACATCACTGGCAACGCCATGCCTGTCGTGTATATGCCGTATCCGTTATACCTCAATTTGACCCGACTCCCCCCGGCAGAGACGACTGGTATGTACGTGGGCAGACGATACATATACACGAAATGAACAGAGAAGGGGGCGCTAAGTCATGATGATGCATGGGGGTTGTTGTTACTCTAGTGGAGCCATGGCGGGGCGACCAATTGATTCGGTATCATGGTACACGACGGTACCTGTACAATGCGGTGAAGAATGCGTTGAAAGCTGCCCAAGGTACAAACGCGATAGATTTATATGCAGGAGAGCGTGTTATGTATTATATGGTTCCAAACTATATATGTTGTGTAGTTGTCAAGACATCCAAGCGCAATTGGAACTTGTTCTGGGGGTGCGTACCCCAACAACTTCGTTGATGAAAACCACTAGACGATGTCTTTGTGTGGGTAGTCGGCACTTGGACGTAACCCAATACGCTGCGCTAGTTCCCGGTCAAAAGGTATGCAGTGCATTGTTGGCTTGCCCTACTTAGTGGACATGTATGTGTAGGTGAATCACTTCCCAGGCAGCTTGGAACTAGGTCGAAAAGACAAGCTGTGCACCAACATCCTTCGCATGCAGCGCAAGTTTACCGGGGCGTTCTACCAGATCATCCCCGAGACGTTTGTGACGGGGGCGAAGGAATGCAAGCCGTTCATGGCCGCCCTCGCTTCTTCCTCCAAAGCCCTTTGGATCCTCAAGCCACCAAACCAGTGCTGTGGTCGCGGAATTAAAATCATATCGGGCGGGTCAGATTACACGTACGAGCCGGACAAACGATATGTGGCCCAGGTACTCGTATAATATATATATTGATAAGCAACATGTATTATTCATTAGAACTAAATATATTTCATATATTTCTCGATTTCGTAATACACGTTTCTCACGCTTTTGCAGCGCTACATCATGAGCCCATACTTGATCAATGGGTTCAAGTTTGACATGCGGCTCTATGTACTGGTACGACGACATAGAGTAATATTGTATGGATAAGCAGCGCTTGATATATAATTTCCACATCGAAACATATAGGTGACGTCGTTCGACCCGCTACGTGTGTACTTGTTTGACAATGGCCTTGTTCGCTTCTGCACCCACGTACGTCGCTTCGTATACAGCCCCATGAACGCGTTCCGGGCGTCTTGTAAACCTATACAGTATACTAGTGTATATTACCCAAGAATTGGACTTTGAGGTGATGCCGATCACGCTAATGAAAAGTAATACACTGATTAGGAGTTGGAGGTGATTTTCCTACATTATTCTGATAGGCTCATTAGTTCTCCTGTCAGTGTTTCTATTTTTGGCTTTTGGTCCAGTTTACAACAACACCAACTCTACACGACAAATACTCTTAATAGTACGAATGCAGTATTTCTTTCATACGTAGTTCAATGGTTGTAGAAATACTCGACGTCGACAAAGGACGTGGCCAACCGCTTCGGTCACTTGACTAACTACAGTGTAAATAAAAAGAACAAGGCCGCGTTTCAATCCAACCAGGACGCAGCCGCCGACGGCGAAGGCAGCAAGTGGAGCTACCAAGTACAGCAATGCATACTTTTCTTATCAAAACCAATCTCTTTCGATTTGGACTGCACAGATCTATCCCTTGAATCTACACAGATCTTTTGAATACTACGTACATACTAGCTATTACTAGTTGAATACTACGTCATACTAACCTAGTACTAGTCCATGCGTTGGAGACTACGTAGTCGAAATGTGAAGCTAACTCCAACACTGTAGGCGTTGCAAGCGTACTTTGAAACGCAAGGCCTCGACCCTACCGCCATCCACCTCGACATTGCTGCCTTGATCGTCAAGACTCTCGTGTGCGTGGAGAGTCCTCTCGTAGCTTCGCTCAACAAGCAAGCCAAACACGTGAATGCTTGCTTTGAACTGTTTGGGTTCGACGTGCTATTGGACGCCAACCTGCGCCCGTGGCTGCTCGAAGTGAACGTGTTTCCGTCTATGAGTAGCTCGTCCCCTATGGACAAGCGCATCAAGTCCATCCTCGTCTGCGATACGTTTCAGCTCGTACGTGTACATACATATGCTAAGTAGTGCCGCTGGCTTGGCTGGCTATGGCAGTTTTGAAGAACAAATCGTTTTCGTTGTTATTCTTTTATCATTAGGTGGGCGTGGCGGCGGTAGACATGGGAGCTGGGGACTTGAAGAAATCAACCCCCAAACCCCGCCGGTCCGTGAAACCAAACCGCCAAGACTCGACAGAATCATCAGTCACCGCCGAGGACATCGAAACGCAGTGGATCCAAGCGTTGGAGGACGAAGCCAGCCGCCTTGGCCACTTTGAGCGCATATTTCCGACGCCAGACACGATCAAGTTCCTCGACTTTTTTGAAATACCACGGCCGGGCAACCTCGTGTACGCAAAACACCTGCAAATGAAAACAACTACTCCAAACCAACTAGACGGCGGACGACCGTCCAAGGGGATGCCCAACGCAGCTGTATCTGCTAAACCAACGACGCGGCAAAGGAGCTTTAGCCGCAAATTTAGCCACGCCAAGACGGCTAGTTTAAGCTACAACGAGTAATAACTACAGTAACTGTACTACTACAAACGAAGTAGCTTCGATGTGCTACTTCGTACTACACGAGGGTTAGCTACACTAATTCAAATGGACTTTTAAAGACGCGTGAAATATATCGTCGAGAAACCCAGTGGCCTTGAAACGTGAGACAACTTTAATATTAGTTACTGTTAGTACCTGTACTCCAAGCTATGCTAACATTTCAAAAGAGCATGATGCGGAGATATTATCGATTTACGATATAAAAAAGACGTTTTGGGATTGCTTTTATGCTTTTAGTAGTGTATTCTGGCCGGTGGGATTTGTTTCATGTTTGCTTGGTATAGCGCGTAATACAGTTAAGAGTATACTCCAACGTTAAACGTTACTGATATACTTTTAGTACTACTAGTATTATTAATACATAGTACTAGTATTAATTGTTACTCCGGAGTTAGCGACAGCGCATTCGTAGTACTAAAACTAGAAGTACTGTAGTGCTTAACCATAGGGCAAAGTGCAGTTCGAACGACCGACAATTGCTCCCAATCGACGATATATGTATGCGATAAAGTGCAATATATATTACACTTTTCAACTCGACTAAGTGCAAGCTAATACACGACTACTACGATTGACTGGTGCTATTTCAATTGGCTTTGGCCACTCGACGGTCTCGCACCGACTTTGCTAGCCGTTGTAGTACCGTGACCTGCATATATTGTTTCACATTCCAATTCACGATATACATATATATATATATATATATATATATATATATATAGTATTACCGTGTCGTCCCAGCTAACACATGCGTCGGTGATACTCTTGCCATACTCGAGGGGTACGCCAGGCGTAAGTTTCTGCGCGCCTTCAACCAAATTCGACTCGATCATAAGCCCCACGATGCGGTCATCGCCACTGGCCACTTGCGCTCCCTGTGGATATATATGCATCGTGTTTGAACAATGTACAAGTAATCCCACTACTACTACTACTAGTACTAGTACTACTACTACTACTAGTACTAGTACTAGTACTACTACTACTATATAGTAATCATGATCTCGACGTACGACGTTGGCTGCTACAAGAGGTTGGTTGCGGTGGTTCTTGGACGAGTTGCCGTGGGAGCAGTCGATCATGATATTGTCAGGCTGGTGATGCTTTTGCAGCAGATCGGAGCATTTGTCGACATGCTCTTTGGCGTAGTTTGGCCCTGTGCTGCCGCCTCGTAGGATCACGTGGCAGCTGTCGTTACCCTAGTACCAAGGCGATGAGTCAAGCGTTTCTTGATGAGTTGCTGTGGAACGAGAGGCTATCCACGATGTGTACATTGGTGGTTACAATCGCAGACAAGCCGTGCGAACTCACGCCGAGAAAACTGTGCGGGTGCGCCGCCGACACGACGGCGTCTACTGCCAGTTGCCTACAAAATCAATAATACAAGGGATTAACCAAAACGTAGCGAAATCATATTGTGCTTTCGAGTGAAATTTTGTGTTGTGGTTTCTCGTTGGAATTTAAAGCGATTTGATTGGCTACTTCAGATGAGCTCAAAATATTAACCAATCAAAAGCTTCATAATGAAATTCAACCAATCAGATCGAATGTGGATCGGTTTGGTTCGCGCGATTCGATTGCAACCCCCTCCCCAAATTTGTATCAAATCGACAATATATAATGTTCCAGAGTGAGGAGTACAATCTCCAAAAAGGAATATAACACCATTTCGATCACATTATAACACGTAGAAGCCAGGTATATAACACCATGTAGAAGACATTATAACACGTACAAGGAGCCCCCGGTGCCGTTTTTAAATCCAATGGGCATCGACAACCCCGACGTCAGTTCCCTGTGGAGTTGGCACTCTGTTGTGCGGGCGCCAATGGCTCCTAATATAACACCGCAAAATGGATGTTAGGGGTCCTATAACTTGTTATAATTATCTTACCCCACGCCACCAGGTCACAGAAAAACTGCGGCGAAATTGTGTCGAGGAATTCGCATCCCGCCTACACCATCACATATAAGGACACTGTACGTTCAGTTACACTAGCAAATCACTGAAAAGTGCACCTACCGGCAGTCCCAACTCGTTGATGGCGGACAAGAGCTCGCGCGCGAGGCGGAGGCCCTAGCGTTTACCACCATGTGACAACGTGCAAACGTACAGTGTACGGTAAAGTACAACTAGGAGCTACTAGTTTGTACCTTGTTGATGTTGAACGTGCCGTCAATGTCGGGGTCGTTGATGAGTCCTTTCCACCCGACGGTGGTCCGCGGCTTTTCAAAGTACACGCGCATGACCACGAGTAAATCCTTGTCCAGCGTGTCGCGAAGGGCCTTGAGTTTCACCGCTAACGGTACAGCCAAATCAATACCGTCATATTATATGCGACATGGTTCTGACATGATAACGTCATCGTTGAATTGGTCATATCGTCGTATTGATAGGTTGGTTGATATATATCGTACCATACTCCAAGGCGGCTTTGGGGTCGTGGATCGAACATGGGCCGACGATGACGACAAGGCGGTCGTCCACGCGACGCAGGATGTTGTTCACTTCTTGACGGCCCTTGTTCACGGTGCGGGCAATGGCCACAGTGCGCGGCACTTGTTCGAGAAGGCACACGGGTGGGATGAGCGCACGGATGCCGCCGATGCGAACGTCCACCAGCGCATGTTTGTCCATGATCTTGGCGTCTCCCGCGTTGGACACGGAACCTTCGCGGTCTCGATGGCCGTTGCGGGTTTCATTCTCGACGTGGGTGTTTGAGGTTGCCGGTGGACGAGACGCATACATGCCGACCAAGAGCCCGACGGTGCCGCCCCATGCGACCGTGACGGCGACAAGGGAGATGGCCAGCACTACAGAATACGGATTGCTGCTGGTCGAGGTCATGGCAAGGAGGCAAATGGAGAATGCGACGAGTGCAACTAGTATCCTTGTAGCGGGCAAAAGATTGGGCAATCACATCAAAGGCTGTTCAATGACAGGTACGTTCAACGTACATTGCATGTACGTACTGACATTAAGCGTGTATTGAGTAAGAATGTACTTGGCGTACGGGATTGAACGTACGAATTGTACGAAAGGTTAAGTGCACCCAAACGGCAGAATAATATTGTGGAAGGTCCAACACACCGTCAAAACCGCCACGTTCAATGTGTATGGTATTAACGTTAACAGTAAGATAAGTTACTGTACAATTGAATAACAAAAGGTTAACGGAAGTTCACAAGGCCTGCATACTATAACGTTATAATTGCATTTCGTATGAATAAATCATGCGATAGAACGAACTGTTCTGTGTGTGTGAATTGTGAATGGCGTCTTGGTTTGTGAATTCGCAATTGGTTTGTCTAATCAATATGCATTCACGCTGGAGTTCGGATTGGTTGAATATATTTGTCCTTTCTGTAAGAGCCAATCAAATCCACTCAAAATTGGATTAGCCCATAGCGTCGAAGCGTGATTCGATTGCAATACTATTACGTAACGTTAGTATACTATGCGTAAATTAATACTACGTAGTAGTTTGGCTGGGCTAAGGTATACTAGTACTATGTAGTAATGTACTATTAATAGTATTACGTAGTTAACGCCAATATACACGCATATTTTGCATTTGAAGCGTTTCGATTGGTTCGTCTGCTTCAGTAATGTGCAAAATCAAATTCGTAAATTACGCTGATTGGTTGGCTCAACTCGATGGATTTCAGCCAATCCTGGCCATTGTCGTATATCGCTGGCAATAATGTTGCGCACGGCATCCGTCACTCGGTGGCGCAGAGCGTTGACCGCCGCCGTCCACGGTCGTCACTTGAGCTCAAAGAAACCTGGCGCTCCATTGAAGGAACGCTTCGTGTCGGTGGACCGATCGGGCTTGAAGCAGCCGCACCTGCATGCTTTGCTCAAGGACAACACGCACGTCCAGGCGTTGGGCCAGCAGAAGAAGTCGGCCAACGAGAACGATTTGACGCGGTTTCTCCACAGTTTGATCGCCGTGCGGGGTCCCATCACAGTGGCAGAGTTCATGCGTCACGTACGTCTTCCATCGCATCCACCGCCGGACTAACGATCAGTAGGCATTGAGCCATCCCGTGCACGGGTACTACATGAAGCGCGACGTGTTTGGGACAAAGGGCGACTTCACGACCGCGCCAGAGATCAGCCAAATGTTCGGCGAACTCATCGGCGTGTGGTGCGTCGCCACGTGGCAGCAGATGGGCAGTCCGTCGCATGTCAAAGTCGTCGAAGTCGGGCCCGGGCGCGGGTCGCTCATGGAGGACTTTGTGCGCACCGCCAAACAGTTCCCAGCCTTCTACAAAGCGCTCGAGATCCATTTGGTCGAGATCAGCCCCGCCCTTCGCGAACTCCAACAGACCAAGCTCCTCGCTGTGAAAACCTCTGCAGACTCGTTCCGGTTGCCGATGGACGGCCCTGCTATCTGCTGGCACGACGATCTGTCCCATGTGCCAGAAGGCCCGACCTTATTTGTCGCCCAAGAACTGTTTGATGCGTTGCCCGTGCATCAATTTGAATATACTCCCAAGTACGTCGCTTACTATGACCGTCGAGGAATATGGGTTGCCTGGCGCATACGTGGCTGTTTGGATGGGACGGATATATATCTGTATATCGTTTATTTCATATATATATATATATATATGTGTGTATGTATACTTATATGTATATATTTGTATTATATGCTGTATATATTTGTATTATTTCATATCTATCTTTTATTTTATACATATGTATATCTTATATTTCGTATATGTATATTATATATGTATATATATATATGTATTATTTCATGTATATACTCCGGAGTAAGTGTATAATTCCGTACATATATTTGTATTATTTCATATACAGCATATATATATATATATGTACATGTAATTTCATTATGGTATGGGCATTAAAAATATCAAGCATATCGAGGCGACGACGAATTGACTGTGTGCGTATGTATGGCCTTGAAAACGTTTAAAAGTACCTTGGAAAACGTACATTCTATCCAATCATTAGATATGATATCTTATGATTGGATAGAATGTACGTTTCCAAGGTACTTCTGATGTTCTTTTTCGTTGCAACGTACAGTAAATAATAGCTCACGATACTTCTTTCTTTCTTCCCGAGTTTAGTCTTTCAATCGAATTCAACATTTGATCCAGGACTAGTCAGACCTGCTTGAACTATAATTGGACACAGCTAATAATAATGGATGGTAGAGGGTGGTGTGAGCGACTGATTGACATTGACGAAACGAGTGACAACCCCGACCACTTTCGCTTCGTCGTGTCCCCGGGACCGACGCCAGCCACGCGGGTGTACATTGGCAAAGAGAAGATTGTCACCCCCGACGTCCAACTGCCTGTCAAGTCGGCCAACGTTTCGAATCCGTCCAAAAGTAAGAGTTATCCACAGGTTAATCGTGATGACATATTATGGTTCATTGAATTCATTCATATTGAGCACTTTTTTTTCACCGTGCGTTCAATTAACGTAAACTTGTATGAATTGTTATCATGTTGACAGTTTAAACGTGTTGGTGTATTGGATTCGGTGGGGGGGTAGGATGTGTTGTATATCGTACTTTGGCAATCTCCAATCAATTGGAGGGATGGATTGTAGTATATATATCGTCCTTTGCGCTGAAATTTGGACTTGGCTAGCTGATTCAAGAATAGAGAAGACTTTTCAATGTATGTATGGGATACACGTTTCACTACGAATACTTGACCATATTCTACCAATCGATGATTGGTTGAAAATTTGTACTAGTCGATGCGATACTACTCTGAAGTCCCAAATTGGAACGGTGTTGACAATACTGTGGACTCAAATATATTTCCGCATGCAAATATGATATATATAAAAAGTTGCAGAGGTTTCTACGACAACGTCCCTTCTCTTTAGCCAATCATAATGCGACGTTCATACTTTTTTAGCCAATCATACTGCTTTGTTCGCTTTGTCGGCGATTTCAACCATCCCCCAAATTGGCAAATTTGGGTGAAATGCGCATAATATGGTGTTATATTAGACCCCCAAGACATATTGGACGATTTGAATGAATCCGCGGCGAGGATCACTGCGCATTTGGAAGCGCTGGAGAACGAATCGTCTGTTGAGGTCGTGCCGGTGCTGTCCCCCGGTGTCCAAGTCGGCGATCGCATCGAAATCAGTCCGCTGGGGATTGCTTTGGTTCAGGACATGGCCAGCCGCATTGCAAAGCACGGCGGAGGTACGTTAAGGCGTCGATTTCATCACAAAGTAGTGACAGTATTGTTTATTTACCTATATATATATTATATATACAAACTTATCATTGATGGTGTGGATATATTGTAGCGGCGTTGGTGGTGGACTATGGCCGAGACCATGCGTCGGAAGTGAGTTTGCGAGGTATCCAGCACCACCAGTTTGTCAGTGTCCTGCGCGAGCCTGGCGACGTCGATTTGGTAAGTTTTTTTAACGTATATATATATATAGTTAGACGTATTTCGACGACAAAGTATCGAAGTAAACATATATATATACATGTTGTATATTAATTATCCTCAAAGTGGACGACCCCTGCTCTTAAAGCCTTTCTTCTCCACGAAAACCTATATGTAAATCGTATTTATATATTTAAATAGTATTTAATCGTATCGTATTTGTATGTTAAACATATTTTAAAATATTATTTATTTAATTTATATTATGGTAAATAGAGCATCGACGTGGACTTTAATACGTTGAAACGATATGCAACGGCCGAGCCCAATGTGCGGGCATACGGTCCGATCGGCCAGGGGCTGTTCTTGAAGGAGATGGGCATTGAACATCGCATGGCGGCGCTTTTCCAGCATGCGTCGGGTAAGAATATATATATATATATATGTGTTTCTGGATATATATATTTATATATATTGGGATATCCTGCAGAAGAAACGCAAGAAAACATCTACGACGCGTACGAGCGACTGGTGAACCCCGATCAAATGGGCTCGATTTTCAAAGCCATGGCCCTAGTGTCGGACAAAGTCGTGGGGGACCCCGTGGGGTTTCCTTCGAACGACACCAACTAAATAACCAGGCTTAACTACGACACCAACTAAGCATAATCAATGTCAAGTTGAAGTTAGAGGACTGGGTTGTCCGAGTGTGGAAATGACTTGGGAGTTGCCTACTATGAGAAGTGTAAAAATAGTAAAACTCAACAACACTACCGTAATGCGTCGAGGGCATTTGGTAAGCTTAGAGTACACTTTGCAGGGAATAATTCCCTCATTAAATCAGTTCCACTGTTGTTTTGACCCGAAATACTGTTTCAATGAGGGAATTACTACATCCGGATACACCTTTCCCTGTAACCTGGACTCCGTCCTACCCCCGGTGAGTACACTGTTGTTTTGACCCGAAATACTGTTTCAATGAGATTTATAAGAAACTTTGTATGCTCAGATCACCTCACCTCTTTCTTATTAGGGGTGAGGTGATCTGAGCATACAAAGTCCCTTATAAATCTCATCGAAACAGTATTTCGGGTCAAAACAACACTACGAACGGCCTGCAAAGGTACAGAATTGTACCTTTGCAGGCCGTTCGTAGCCATTAGCAAACCGTATACTACGGTTTACTGTACTGTACTGTACGTGTCGGGTGCGCCCTAGATACAATACATGTACGTACAGTGTTTACAATACAAAATTATACGTAATGCATTGTATTGTAAAATTCCACAGTACATTACAATACATCGATCGCAAATACCGCTTTAACCACGCATAGGGTCTGGTTGAAGTAAAATCCACCTGATTTTTTTTCGACGACTTTTTGGGTGAGAAAAAGTTAGTGCTGGTTGAAGTAATCCGGTAAAATAAATACTCCGTGAAGTATAAAATGCAGCAGAAAATTTTGCTGCAAAACGTCGGTAAATCGATTAGCATTGCGATGCTATTCACTGATTCCCATAGTTGCTGTACCACCATGGGAATCAAACAAGTACCTACTTTATGTGTCCCTCCACCGACACTTCAAGAATATCTAACAAAGTAACGAATAACTTTCTTTGTTATTATTGTTTTTCAATAAAGTGACGAATAATACGCATCAACTCTCCTTTGCGTCGATTTTCGACTTCGCGTATTTGTTGTCGCTCGAGTCGATCCTTTTCACGCTCCTCACGGTATTTTTCGCCTTCTAGACGCTCTTTTCTTTCTCTTCTAGTTCTTTTTCCAGTTTTGATTCGCTTGAACGCCATTTTTTCTCTTTCAAGAGAAATTTCCATTTCTTGAACATCAAAAATCATTTTACGTTTACCTGACGGTGTCGATTCGGTTGGCTCTGACTCCGAAGACAAC